CCCCAAGTTTTGCTAAATTGTCGGTTAAAACACCATTATACACTCTTTTTTATAGGAACCAGTAAACTTAAGTTCAGGCTGACTGTTCTTAATTTTTTCGAAAATCTGAGGCTGGATTGTTCTTAATTTGTTCTTAGTCTAATAGGTTGTAAGCAGTGCGAGTGCTAGCTTTTTCACTCTAGGGTGGTAGGTACAGGCCTCATTTGCCAACAGACAGCCTTAATTTGCGGACAAATTTGAATATTCACCGAAAAAGCACCCACAACATCGCTAAAAATCCTCGATCTTGAGAAAAAACGTTGTTCAAAATTGCATTTTGCAGAAGCTAAGCCTCAGCTTATTCTTAATTTGTTCTTAACTTTTGACAAATTTTGAGGCTTGAGTTCTCATAAAATTGTTCTTACCCATGTCGCTGCTTTTCATTAAGATGCTTCGAAAATTCGATCATCTTGCTACAACTAATCTTGCGAATTTTGACGTTTTACTCCTTCACTTTTTTGGAAATTTTTTTTCTTTTCTTAAAAATTGAAATCACCGAAACAGGTTTGACTGCAATGAAAATACAGTTGATATGAACAGCTTGCAACAAAATTGCTCTTTCCTAAGCATGGACAAAACTACACTTACGTTCAAAAAGTATTGGGACACACTTCGAAATTTCGAAGAAATTTTATGCAACAAACTTGGAAAGACTTTTTTAAAATCTTTCCCATTAAATAAATATAGCAGCTATTTCTATGAAACTTTCACAAGACATTGTTGATGTTTCGATGCATTTTATGTACGCCAAACAGTTAAAAAAACGTCGACCATAAAATTTCTATAGGCCTTGAGACGAAAACCTGGAGGCTCTTGAAATTCAAGAACTGAGTTAAGAGAAGCGCTTACAAATTGCTTTCTACTAAAATAAAGCAAATGGATTTCGCGATATTGCATCGATTGTCCGCTGCTCATTGAGTGCAGCTTTTATGGTGTGTAAAAAGTTTTTCCGTACAAGAACAGTAAAAAATTTACCAAGGGTTGGCAGACCGAAGAAGTTTACGTCGCCGAGGGACGAAAGGTCATTTCTGAGGGAACTGCGAAGTAATAGGTTTGAATCCTTACCAGACATCATATTGTCATGTAAAAAGAAGCTAAATAATGGAACATAAGCAAAAACATGGCTATAAAAGTCATGAAAAATACAAATTTTCCAACGTTATAAGAAGAAAATGCTCTCTCAAAGCAAAAATTAATCATTGACGATGATTACAAATGGCTTCTCCTTGAATGTTACGCAATTTTAAAAGTAGCTTGAATAAATGCAATAATTTAATAAAATTGTAGCATTTTCGTCGATGAAGTAAACTTTTTTTGAAGCTTAAAAGTTTGATTTTATAATTTCTTTTATAATTTTTTTTGTTATGCAAACGTGAAATTTAAGAGTTTTATTTGTTTGGACAGCTCTAAAGTTTTTGGAAGGTCATGTGACTTTGCCATTGTTAGGCCATACAACCTTTCTGCATATTTTGCTGTTATAATCAGGAAAATCGAAAGAATCCTGTGTTTTCTTGGCTATGCTTCATAAGTTGAAGCATTTTCTTAACTTTTTATTCCATTTTGGGGAAACGTAGGCCTAGATTATTTGTAGAGAGACTGCCCAAATCTGAAAAAGTTTCCGTTGCAAAACCGAATCCAACGGAACGCCATAATTCGTTTATCGAATTCGTCCCAATACTTTTTGAACGTAAGTGTATATGAGAAAATAGATGGTTACCAGAACACCTAATTTCTATGAAACACCGCGAAAGAAATTTGATAACTGTCTCGTAGATTTGTGCTTCTCAGGAGATGATATTTCAAATTATTTTTTGGCTGGTCGAAAATTTAACAAATTGAATCTTCACAACCATCCAAAAACAGAAGCTTGGGTAGGACCTTGCTGGAAAGACCAGGTGATGAACTTCAAACTTTTGCTTTAAATTTCGTTTTGCTTTTAATCAAATATTTTTTAGCACTTATCTGTAAATGATCTTTTGTTATTAAAAGCTTTCTTTTCAATTAGTATTAGCTGTTGCAAATAAACCGTTTCTTGATATCAACCTACAAGCATTTTCAATCTTATCAGATTCCAGTTTAATTTGTGCACATTTTTGAGGAAAATTCTTCTTTTCCTTA